GGAGTGCCCTGTTTTTGCACCCAGGGAAGCAGGCTGTGGCTTGTCCACGGCTTGGTTTCTGTTTATGAAGGTTGTTACTGCTACCACGAAGTTGTGGTTCCCTGGCTAAACCACAACGTGGAAAGGACGACGGGGAGACTGGCCAAGGTTGGCCCAGACAGGGAGGCCCTGCACAGAGGACTAGGGAAAGGGCTGGGTTCTGCGTTCCAGGGACGCCAGGACTTCCAGAGGAAGGAAGGGTACCCAGCCGGTTGTGGGGCTCGCGGGGCCTGGACGGGGCGCTTGGCTGAGAAGGTCTAAGGAGGGATCACCAGGACGTCTCCCTTTTAACTCTTGCTCTGAGTGGGTTTGGAGGAAATGGGAGTCACTAACTCCCAAGGTGGTCACAATCCATTAACGCCTCAGGCCATGGTGTTAGGGAGCCTGGGCCATGACGGGTAGGCTGAGAGACCTCCGGTCACTGCACCCTGTGAAGTCCAGCACGAAGACAGCCGCTGAGGAGGAAGCAGCCCTCACCGGAAGGGGCAGGTCCATCACCCTGATCTTGGGCTTCTCAGCCTCTAGAACAGTGGAAGGCAGACTTCTGCTGTGTCACCTAGTCTAAGCTGTGTTGTTGTGGTAGCCCAGACGGACTAAAACAACTCCATCTCAAGGGGATCAACAAACCCAGACTTTTCCAGGCCAGATCTCATTGAGGATTATCAGGTTTTCCGATAGGAGCTAACATGGCGGGACTGAGGCTGTGATCACTAGAAGGACCTGCTACATGGGGTCCTTGGAGACTTCTATTTTGGGAGGATTTTTGTTTGTTTGTTTTTTGAGACAGGATCTTGCTACGTAGTCCAGGCTGGACTCGAACTCACGGTGACCCTCCTGCCTCGGCCTCCTGAGTGCTGGGATCACAGGTGTGCGTCACCATACCTGGCCATTTTCAGAGGATCTGCAACATCCTTAGACTTAACGAATGGCCCTGTGGCTAAATATCACAGGCTGTTCTGTGTATTTTGAATACCTGCTTTAATTCTGGTTATCTAAAATCTTGGCCTGTGCTTGGTGAAGGATGCCTATGTGACCAGCCCCTCAGAAAAGCCTGGGACTCCTAACATACGCTGGGAGACAGCGTTTTGTGCAGGAGACACACTTTTAGCTAGGAGAGTTAAGTGCACTCCCCCATGATGGCACCGGAGGAGAACTCTTGCAAACTGTGGTCTCGTTCCCTCTGGACTTTGTCCCGCATTCCTGCCCCTTCTGCTGACTTTGTAGCCTTCTGCTGCAATAACTCGCAGAGTCAGAGGGTTATCTGCTGAGCTCTACACATTCTGAGAGCAAATCACTGACCCTAGAGATGGTCTTGGGGCACCCAGGAGGGAATAAGGCCAAATTTCAGTCAACCCTAACTCTATACTGAGACCTTACGAATATGCACCTTAAACCAGCCCTGCCTGGTGAAATACTTATCTATGTGTACGTAATGCTGGCTATTACTCTTAGTAATTCTCATTATCGTAAGATCTGGCCCTCTAGAGATCAACTTGTCCAATGTCCAACTTTCATTCCATACATGTGAAAACTGAGGCCCAGAGCTTGGAAGGCACTAGTCTCAGAAGGGAAACAATCCACAGTCACCCACTCTCCCCACTGTGTCTCCTGGCTGACTCTGAGATTGGAGCTGATGATTATTAGGAAACCAGAAGCTTCAGGCCCCGCCTGAGTGCTGCAATCCTTTCTTGATTGCAAAATAGAGCCCCTGTTCGAGGCAGGCACCACAGTGCTGAGGCTGGGCGGCCGGGCCTCCCTTACTCCACCTCGGTCCGGCTGTGCCCACAGGAGTCCAGAGTGCAGCACCAACTCAGCGGCGCTGGGGCTGTCCTCGCTGTTGGGGCTTCTTCAGCCCATCTTATTAACTCATGTTCTGGCTTCTGTGAAGCCACAAGGCATCAGCACTTTTTAAAACATGCCTCCTGTTCTGTCTTCTGCAATCGTTGTTGATACACCAAGCAGATCAGCATGGGCTCCTGTGTCCCCCTGGGGTGAAGAGTCCTGGGCACCCAGCTGCCCGGTGTGCAGAAGGGCACGTTCTCACACTGGAAGTCAGAACAGCTTGAGGTTCTGCTCCAGTGTCTGTTTCTACCCCTCCCTTCCTAAAGCCCAGTGCAAACCATCATCGACTCTCCTCTGAGAAGCTCACTCAGAGAAATTCACGTTGTGGCAGCTCTTCCTGACAGCAGGAATCAGACTAAGAATCTCCTCTCTCTTCCCCTCTGTCTCTCTCTGTCTCCTTCTCTCTCACTTTTTCTCTGTCTTGGGGAATGAACTCAGGGCCTTCACACTGAGCTACATTCCCAGTCCTTTTTTGTTGTTGTTGTTCTTATTTTTTATTTTATTTATTTTTTTGGTACGGAGATCGAACTCGGGTCCTTGCTCTTGTGAGGCAGGCAGCGGCACCACTGAGCTAAATCCCCGGCCCTATTTTTTTTATTTTGAAAAGGGTCTCACCAAGTCATTAAGTTGCCCAAGCTGGACTGGCACTTGCAATCCTCCTGCCTCAGCCTCCCAGAGGGCTGGGATTACAGGTGTGCACCACCACGCCCGGCCAGACCGGTCTTGTGGGCTCAAAATGTTAGTACATGCTAACTTGAAACTGATTATTTGATATGCCAAAGAGGGTTTTGACACGAATTTATGTAATAAATATTTATCAAGCCCCATCTGAGTGTTGGAAATGAAGTCTTTGTAGACTCTGTAGTAATTTAGTGCAGAAAATAGATCAACAAGAATTTATGATGAAGCACAACAAAAGGTTGATGTAGAGAAGATCTAGGAACTGCAGTAAAGTCAGGGGCATGAATAAAGCCTTTCCTTAGGAGGTGAACTTAGCAGACATCTGGGCAAAGAGCAGCAGGAAGCCATGGAGGCAGAGGGCGGTGTGCAGCAGGGAACAACACAGGGACGATGCCGAGGTGAGAGAGAGAAGGCCGTGCTGGAGGAGCCCAGGTGGCTCAGCCCCCCTGGGAAAGACAGAGTCCAAGAGTGGGACCAAAGACAAAGTACCGGTGGGGTTTGGACAGGGTTATCTGAGAGGCTGAGGAATTTGAACTTTCACCTGGGGACACCTGGACGCAGCTGGGTGGAGGGCATTTTCCAGGTGGGGCCTGGGAACAAACACACTGAGGTGCCTCATCCTATGCCATCGTCACGCTGCTGCCGGGGCCAGGGATCCTCAGCCCAAGGCCTCCTGACCTCAGGATGGGCGCCATCTCCCCAGCCCGGCGGGCACCCAGGGGCCCTAGGACCGAAACGCCTCGGACCACCGCTGCGAGGTCTCTGGCTAACGACGAACCTCAAACCAACCGACGTAACCCAGGAGAGCAGTGCGCATGGGACCCGAGTGTGGACTGCATCCTGGCCCCTCTGCCGCTGACCTGGCTCCCTGTCCCCCGGCCTGTGAGGGTCTGCAGTCAGTCACATTTGGCCAAGCACACAGTGCTCGGTCTGTGCTGTTGCTCACGCCTGGGTGCCCTCCTGCCACACACTGTGGTGTGAGGAACGGGACCCGAGCCACGCGGACATTTCCTCCTCGGTCATGGAGAGGGCCGGCACCTCACGGCACTTCTGGATCCAGAGAGACTTCTAGAGCAGCTAACTAACTGCGGGACTCAGCCCACCAGACCGGGCCAGGCAGGCGGCCTCGGAACCCTCTCCACCCAGCTGGGTCCAGCGTGGTGATCTGGGGGGCCCCTGCTCTCTGGGGGTACAGCTTCCCGGCTCCCGCAGGGGCAGATGCCACCGTCTGGGGTCAGGACCATTCCTGACCTAGAGCTACCTGGCCTGATCCCAAGTGTCTTGAGCAGAAAAGCAAATTTAATGATGGATTAATTCGCCAAACATTGAACATATTATGTATCAGACCTTGGGCTGGAGGTGACGTGGGCCTCTCCTTAAGGGGCTCCTGGGCCAGCTGTGTTACTTACAATCACATCCCTCAGGCAGAGTCAGAAGGGCCTCAGAGACCATTAGCTGGTCTCATCATCACACACTTGGGGAAACTGAGGCACCGAGCAAGAGCAATGTGTTCAAGGTTGTACAAGAAACGCAGTTTTCTTTTCTTTTTTCTTCTATTTTCTGCAGCACTGGGGATTGAACACCGTCCCTCACACATGCTAAGTAAATGTTCAATTTTTATGTGTCAATTAAAATTTTAAAGAGTGCACAAGGAGCAAATGTACTTTGTTTGCAGACCAGGGTGTTCTGTGCCCTAGACAGGAGGGGCTGCATTCAAAATCCCTGCACACAGACAGGCACAACGGCAGAGGGCTGAAATTCCAACTATTCAGGAGGCTGAGGCAGGAGGACCACAAGTAAAGGCATCTGGGCAATACACAAAGACCCAGTCTCAAAACAAATAAAAATAGGTGTGTGTATCCCGGGGAGCAGGTGGGAACCCTAGCACACTAGCACTTGGTTTCTTAAGGACTACGTACACTAAATGTTCCCAGAGGTCTCACCTCAGTTCTTGCTGAAATTTTAAATCCTCAACATCCCCGGCAGGACCCTAAGGGGTGTTTTACAGACTGGAGGAAGAACTGCTTGCCAGGACCGAGCCTTCCCTAGGACTGTGGGTGCCGTTGGTTCCCTTGCCTGGCTGCGCTGGAAATCACAGGGCCAGCCTCCCCCTCCGGTGCCCCCCATGCGCCCCACCCCCACCCCAGGGGCCTGACTCCTGCTCTCCGCCCAGGTTCCCCTGCATCGCTGCGTGGGGCCTGGGGAGGGTGGAGCAGAGCGGACACGACTCCTCCCGAAACCCTAGCCGGCCTGCGATTGGCTAGGAGGACCATGCCTGGCCACACCAGGTTCCCGCATCGCTGCGTGGGGCCTGGGGAGGGTGGAGCAGAGCGGACACGACTCCTCCCGAAACCCTAGCCGGCCTGCGATTGGCTAGGAGGACCATGCCTGGCCACGGATTGGCCATCGCTGAGGCTTGAAAAGCAGCTGCGAGGTTCGGATGCCCCAGACAGACCAGCGCCCTGCCCAGCCATGGCTCGGGTCCTGCGGGCGTCCTGCCTCCTGTCCTTGCTCCTGGCCGGCTTCGTCCCGCTGAGCCGTGGACAGGAAAAGTCCAAGGTGAGTGAGGCTGCAGGGCCCCACCTGTGTCCTGCGTCTGCTACTTCCCCTCAGCCCTGCCCCAGGGGCTGTGGTTAATAGGAGCTGGGGTGGGGCCAGACCTCTCCTCCTCCCCGGGTGCAGAGGCAGAAATCGGTAGACAGATCCAGCGATTTATGTCTATGAAGCCTCAATCCTGCTTCCCCCCCACATGCTTGTGGAAAGCTTAGCACAGTGGCCCATGTCTCTAATCCAAGTAGTCAGGAGGCTGAGGCAGGAGGATCACCATGAGTTTGAGGCCAGGTCAGGCTACATAGTGAATTCAAGGCCAGCTTGAACTACAAAGTGAGACCGTCTCAAACAGAAAAACCCAAAAGACCAGAAGAAAAAATGCTTCTGTAGGCTCATGCTTTGGAGCTCTAGAACTCTCTGGGTCTTTAGTGTTTTACAAGCCCATGATGGTGTGTCCAAGGGCAGGGCTCTTCCCCATTCTGCTCCTCCTCACAGGCAAGGTTAAAGACTGCATAGCCATAAACCCCTTTCTGCTGTTCATAATCACCTGCCCGGGCAGGGACAGGATGACAGAGGAGGGCAGGACAGTAGGCAGCGGGATGTGGAGTCAGCCCTGTCCCTCAGCGTGATCCTGTGATGGGTACATCGGACTGGAAGGGAAGCCGGAGACCTGTGTCTGGGCCTGGCCATGCCTGACTACGCCGCCACCCCTGCCCCTCTCTGGGCCTTCAGCTCCTCCACTGTAAGACGGAATCAGTGTCATCCTGTCTTAAGGGCCCTTTGGCCCTGACGTCAGCCTGTGTTCCCATGATCCCCTCTGCCTGATTTAGTCACCTAGAAACCAGTGGTTACTAGGATCCTATGCACATCAGCAGCCATTAGTGTCCAGCTTCTGCAAAGTCCTTTGTAGAGCAGGGGAAGGGAGCTGTGCAGTCCCAAGCTGGCCTGAGGAGGGACTGCAGCCAGGAAAGGAGTTGGAGAGGGGAAAGCGTCTCCCTGGAGCTGGCAGCTCTGATCATATCAGAAGGGATCTGGACAGCCCAGAAAGGAAGACCCAGCCCTGTCTCAGGCAGTCTGGAGGTAAAGGTGGGCCTTTGAATATTTGCCACAGCCACAGGTTTTGTGCAGAACTGAGGATGGATGGGCTCAGAGTGACCATGCTCTAGAAGAGTCTCAGGTGCAATGCGGCCGTATCACACAGCCAGCCAGGGCTTGCTGCTAGTGACACCTGGACATGTCCTTCTCCATTCCCAGGTCCCAGCTGAGATGCCACTGCTCTGGCCAAAGGGATAGGGAGGGGCTGTGTGCTGAATGGGATGGTCACAGGTGCCAGCTCCAGGGAGACGCTTTCCCCTCTCCAACTCCTTTCCTGGCTGCAGTCCCTCCTCAGGCCAGCTTGGGACTGCACAGCTCCCTGCCCCTGCTCTACAAAGGACTTTGCAGAAGCTGGACAATGGCTGCTGATGCGCATAGGATCCTAGTAACCAGGCAGAGAGATAATGGGAACACAGGCTGACGTCAGGGCTAAAGGGCCCTTAAGACAGGATGACACTGATTCCGTCTTACAGTGGAGGAGCTGAAGGCCCAGAGAGGGGCAGGGGTGGCTGCGTAGTCAGGCATGGCCAGGCCCAGACACAGGTCTCCGGCTTCCCTTCCAGTCCGATGTACCCATCACAGGATCACGCTGAGGGAGCGCTTTGATGATGGGAGAAAACAGCACAGACCAGCAACCATAGCCAGCCAAGGCTGAGGGTACCTCTCTCTCAACCCCAGCCCAGCCCTCGGGTCAGCTCGGCTCTTCTTTCTAGTTCTTCAAGTCCTGTCTCTTCTGGCCACCCAGCCCAAGACAGGGCTGAAGGGTTCCATGGGCCTAGAGGAGAAGGAAGGGGCCTTACCCTGGAGGACCGAGCTGCAGTCCCACTAGAACCACGGCCGGTAGCTCCCGGCACGGCCACCTGCTGACCCCTCACTGGCCCAGGCAGGAAGCACGGAGGCTTCACCATGCGGCACTCCTCCTGGGGACCCGCTGGCCAGTGTGTCACCTGTGCACGCCGGCTGGTGATATCCACGGCCTCTGTCCACCATCCTGTAGAAACCTCAGGGCTGTTCCCTCAGCAGCCCCATGACCCTGGACGAACCTGTTTCTCTCAAGAGGAGTTGATACTGTTGTGACCCCCTAATAAAGTCTCACAACCCTTTAGAGAGCAGGAGGGATTATCCTTAGCACAGCCCAGTGAGTGACTCGCCTGAGGCCACGCTGCAGCAAGGCATGACCTAGAGTGTGGGCTGCGTGCCCCACCCAGCAGAGCCTGGGGGCCCCCCCCCGCCCCTCTTCCTCTCTGTGGGCCACACGGCTTTCTCCTCCCCACTTCCCAGATGGCACCAGTCAGGATGGAGCTGCTAGGGGTGTTTGTATACACCTGCCAGGGCCCAGGGCCAACTGGGGTGTCTGCTGTGCTCTGCTTTGCTGGCGTTGTAATGGGGGCATGGGAGGAGTGTGGAGCCCCGCCCAGAGTCCCGGGTGGGGAGCATCCACTTCCGTAACTGAACAGAAGGGTAATGTTGGCTGGGCAGCCCAGCTCCTCTGAAGCTTGCCCAGCGTCTGGGCACTGTCTTCACACCTGTTCTAGACAGACGCCCTGTGGGCCGTAGGGACCCCCTAACACCATGGCTCTCAGCCTTTCCTGCCCACCTGCTGGATCTGGTCACAACTCAGTGACACCCTTCCGAGAGCAGACCTGGAGTTCCCTCTCTGGGTCAGGGCAGGATCCCGCTGGCTCTTGGGGACCCCACCCCTCCCCCCACACCCCGTGCCACTGACCCACGTTTTCCAGTCCTTGGGTTCATAACGGCCCCGGGGAGGACACAGAGCCAGCTGGAGACCACAGTTGGTAGCAGCGGGTGGAACCCAGGTCTCCCTCGTTATCCTGAGGCTCACATGGAGCAGCAGTTGGGCAGACAGGAAGTATGGTGGTCACTGGCGCACCTGCCCCTCTGCTTGGGACATCCGTGCAAGCTGGGCACTGTGGCTGCACTTCAACCACCACAAGGAGCCCTGCCACAGGCCTTCTCCACCTCTTTCCAGTCTTCTAGATGTGGAGCCTCTGGAGCCCACTCCCCACCCCGCTGCCTCCTTTCCATCCTGTTTTCCTTCCCAGTAGCCTAGTTCAGGCCTCTTCACTTGCCAAGGCCATTCGGCCAGCAGTCACCCACCCACCCCACGGTCAGCCCACCCAGCGGCCCAGGATAGCTCCCCTCAGGCCTCATAAGCATTCCCGAGCTGGCACTGGCGCCGAGATGATTACGAAGCAATTTCCACGGTTCCACCGCGCTCTCCTCCGAGTGCCTGTGAGGTGGTGATGCTAAGTGCTCACTAGGCACTCGGACACATGCATAATCGTCAGGGGTCGGAGAGCCTGGTTATGTCCAGCTCTGGGATTCGGAGTGGTCCTGGGCAGGCCACTCTCCCCGCTAGACTCGCTGACTTCACAGTGGAGAAATGCCCGTTTCCTTCTGGCTCTAACTCTTCTTGGTGCCATCTTTCCCCTCCAGACAGAGTGCCACAGCGGTGTGAGCGGCACCATCTACGAGTACGGGGCCCTCACCATTGACGGCGAGGAGTACGTCCCCTTCAAGAAGTACAGTGGCAAATACATCCTCTTTGTCAACGTGGCCAGCTACTGAGGCCTGACGGACCAGTACCTCGGTCAGGGCCCACCCTCCGCCACCAATTCATTAGGGACTGTTTCTGTCCCTGGGACTCCTCGGGCCAGGGGCGAGGGGGGACAGTCACGAGTCAGCTCCACTGTGCTCCTGGGCGTGCACACACACTGCGCACGTGTCTGTGTCCCGGGAGAGCCCGCCAGATGGCCCAGGCCAGGCCGCCAGCAGCTGCATCTGCTGCCCGAGGAAGGGTTTCTCACTTGCTCCACCCCGTCCCCCAGACTGGGCAGGACAGGATCTAAGCCCCGGCTATGCAATAGCTCACAGTGACCCCAGGCCTAGGTGCCTCCCGCTGCACCCTCACCAGGCCACCGCACCCCTCTCCCCACACAGAACTGAATGCACTACAGGAGGAGCTGGCGCCCTTCGGCCTGGTGGTTCTGGGCTTCCCCTGCAACCAATTCGGAAAACAGGAGCCAGGAGAGAACTCGGAGATCCTCCCCAGCCTCAAGTGAGTGCTCAACAGCCCAGCAGGCCGGGCTCATAGAGCACGAGGAGCCCCTCCGAGGAAGGAGGGAAGCACAGGGGCAGGCGGGCAGGGCAGGGGGCACAGCACGGTGGGCACAGCGGAGGCGAGGGGTCACTGGAAATGGGCTCCCGCACTCCCTCCCTGCTGGTCCTGGTACCTTCCCTCCTTTCTAAGCCAAGCGCCTACCCCCCACCAAAGGTACGTCCGGCCAGGCGGAGGCTTCGTCCCTAACTTCCAGCTCTTTGAGAAAGGGGATGTGAACGGGGAGAAAGAGCAGAAGTTCTACACCTTCCTGAAGGTGAGTGCAGCCTCCCATGCTGGGGCGCTCGGGAACTGGCACTGGCCTGGCTTCTCACTAGGGCTTCGCGGCCCACCCATTGTGGGAGGGCTCCGGTCACCTGGTCCCAGCAGACTGGCTCAGCCCCAAACCAGTGCTCTCTTCTCCTTGGGGCCAGCTGCTCTGATCCCTGCTTTCTCCCTGCCCAGAACTCCTGCCCTCCCACCTCCGAGCTGGTGGGCTCGCCCAGCCGACTCTTCTGGGAACCCATGAAGATCCACGACATACGCTGGAACTTTGAGAAGTTCCTGGTGGGGCCCGATGGCCGGCCCATCATGCGCTGGTACCACCGCACCACGGTGGGCACCGTCAAGGTGGACATCCTGGCCTACATGAGGCAGCAGGCAGCCCTGATGGCCCTGGGGAAGTAACCACCGCCACGCCACTCAGCCGGGACCCTCCCAACACCGCATCTCCCGGACAATTCGCCAGCCCCAAACTAGGTGTGCCTACCCAGCTGAGCTGAACCTCCACCCCTCAGGCTTCTGACGGGCCTCTGACCCCACCCAGCCAGCAGAGAGCAGGTGCAGGGCGGGGCACAGGATAGCGTCTGCCTGACGGAGGGGCCCGAAGCCCAGCGGGCGGGCCCCCCCTGAGCCTGTCTGGGGCCAGCCCTTGTGCATTCCGGCTGAGCCCCGGCAGGGACGCTGTCCCTGCCTCTGTCCGTGCCTGCCCTTGTCCTCCTCACCCCTGTCTGCCCAGTAAAGGCTTCTCTGCAGCAGCCGAGCCTCTGTGGTGCTTCCTCAGCGGCCTTCAGTGTGCGGGCAGGGGCCGAGGCTGGGAGGAGAGGCTGGGTGCTCTGGGCCCCCTGCCCTAGGGCTGAGCATGCCTGGCTTGCCTAGGGGCGAAACACATGATACAGTTAATGCGTGTAGTCTGTTTTGAGATGGTCTGGCTATGTAGGCCATTCCCCTGCCTCAGCCTGAGTGCTAGGTTACACCTGTGTCATCACCCATGCGCCACCACACCCAGTCAGACTACCTTGTTACAAATGCCTGCAACGGACACCCAGCCCGCCCGCCCCTTCCTGCGGGCCTGGGGAGCTCCTCCACCAGCCCGCCGTCGTGTACCCAGGCAGCACTCCTGATGGGCAGGGGAAGCAGCGCTCAGGGCCAGGCCCCCGACACCTGCCAGGTCCTCCCGCTGGTGCTGCCCTTGGGCAATGAGGAAGAGTGGCAGAAGCAGGGACATAAAACACCAGTCACAGAAGCTTGGTTTCCAACTTGGCTTTATGTCCAAGATTTGTGCAAATAGGTGTGCAGGGACAGAATCTACCCGTGTGGCCCTTGGACACCACACTTGCAGCTGTGGGGCCAGGGCCCTATGGATGTGGCCGCAGTGGCCTGCATCCTGGGCGTGGTGGCTCTGACAGGCTGCTGGGGCGGAGGTGGACAACATCTCTGTCAGTCTGTCCTGCTCTGTGAAGAACCACTCTTCTGCAGCTCCTCAAAGAGGGACAGGGATGAGCACAGGGCAGGCCTGCTACAGAGCTCGGAACAGAAACCACACATACATGTAAACCTGGCACCTGAGGGGCCAGAACCCTTCTATGGAGTTTTGGGAAGGGGTCCAGCTGCACCCCGCTCTCAAGAAGGACATCCTGCGGCTTCAGCACAGGGCAGCAGGTCAGAGCTGGCGAGGCCTCTGGATGCAGTGGGGGAGGCAGGGCAGGGAGCTTCTCCCTGGTCAGACCCGGAAGAGGAAGAGGAGCGGGGTGGGAGCCCCAGGGGCAGTGCTGGAGGTGTGAGGCGATGCCATCCCAGCCTCCTGCCCTGAGGCTCTGGCCCCCTAGTTTTTCGGTATTCTGAGGTCAGCCAGCTCTGCAAGACGAAGGTGGAGCCTAATGACACAATCTGGTCTCACTGCGGCCCCTCACAGTCATTTTTTGCAGACTCTAAATAAACAAAAGTTTTGAGGACTTAAAACTATGCAGTATGGTTAGTTTTAAAGCTTTACATGGAAGCCAATTCAGCACCAGAAAAACAACAGCGAGTTACTGAGTGCAGCTGAGCCAAGGCTGTGTCTGGGCAGTCATCACGGACCCTCACGCAGCCTTCAGAGCAGCTGACTAGTGCCCTGACTAGTGAGGCAGGGCAGATGCAGGCAGACTCAGGAAAAAACTAAATCGGGATGTGGACCCAGCCAATCTGGCTCTAGATCCACAAGTGAGCAGTTCTGGAAGAGGCGTCCGCCCTGCCCACCAGGCCGCCCTCTGCCACTCACCCTAGCAGCCTCGGAGGGCTCCCGATGCCCTGGGGACAGACCGGCCAGCCCAGTCCCTCCCCACCAGCCATGTCCCTTAGCCTCAGCTCACACAGTCTCCTGAGAGAGCCGGCTCCACTGCTACACTGTTTTCTAGAAAGTTCCTGCACATGCTGGGATGAACCTGGCCTCCCTACCACTTCCACACCTGAGATTGTGCTCCTAGAGTCCCACAGGTGAAGGAGGGCCTCCTGCCCCAGGAGAGTCCCAGGGGGAGCAAGGGCCCAACGCCTGACGGGTAACGTGGCTCTGGGCCCTTCCCCTTCCACGGCGGACTCCATGAGCAGAGAAGACTTTCTGAACTGCTCATGCCACTCGGCTTTAGAAGGTCCAACAACTCCACGCCGTGCGCAGAACAGACTAGACTCCAACCCCACAGGGCCCTGCCCACGCCTCACACCGACCGGCCCTTCTCTTTCTCACCCTGTTCTCAGTGGCCATGCTGGCTTTCCCTCGGACCCTGAAGCTGCCATCTTCCCTCACTCCCACCAAGGTGCTGCAGACCGCCATGCCCCGCAAAGCCCACATGCTATGGATGACCACCAGCCTGCGGTACTACTGAAAGGTGCTGGGACTTTCAGGAGGCGGCCTGGCACGAGGAAGCAGTCACTGGGGGACGCTCTTGAAGGCACAGTTGGGATCCTGGCCCCTTCGTTTCTCTTTCTTGCTTCCTGACTGCCGTGAGACCTTGGTCATACCTTCCACCATGATGGTACTGCCACGGGTCTGAAGTGACCACACAAACTGAGCCAGAATAAGTCTCTCCTCCTGGTAAACTACCTCAGGTATTCTGTCCCAACGGCAGACAGGTGAATCACAAACTGGTACTGACAATGGGGTTGCTGCTGTGACCGTCCCCAGCGGTGTGGTTCAGAAACCTCTGGGGTTGTCCTGTGGCAGGAATCTGGTACAGTGTGGAGAAGTGGGTCGGGAGATGCCTAGAACGCTGAGGGAAGCTAACGGGTGATGATCTGAGGGCTCAGAGGACCAGAATGCGGACAGTAAAAACTACTCCTACTGCTGCAGATGGAAATGACTCCACTAGAAATTGTTCTGGAGGCTGCTCAGGTTCTACTGTGGCCAAGAGCCTGCCTACACCGGGTCTCCTCTCTGAGACATTTCTGAGGCTGAGGCCGAGGCTGGAGGTGATGGGTGATTCTCTGGGAGGAGACTTCGAGGCAGCACAGATACCTGCAGGAGCATGGCTGCTGACGGCTGTTTTCAGCCAGATTTACTGTGAGAATGGGGAGCAGAAAAGCAGAGCACACGGATTTGAAATCCTTGCATTTGTCTAGAAATGCACACATACAGCTCCTGCTGGGACAGTGAAGTTTAGTGCCACTGAGGGAGCAATGTCCTTTGGACCGGCAGCAGGTTGCCTCAGGGCACCCCGAGAGTCAGCGAGACCCTACCCACTGCAGGCAGCCAACAAGCAGCTCTGTCAGGCTGGAGGATGGAGCTGTGAAAGTGGACCAGTGCTGCAAGGGAACCCAGCTCAACGACACCAGGCTCGAGGACCGCCTGACCGGCCACGTGGCTGCAGCTGCTCAGTCCCTGGAAGCTCACCCCAAGCTCTGCACACAGAGCTGCGGGGCTCACGTCTGCTGTGCCGGGCGTCTGTCTGGCTCTGATCTCACCCTTCCTTCCTATGTCCCCACTTCTCTCTTCAGGAATAAGAGTGCACACCCCATTCCTGGATGCTAGAAGCAGGGAAATTTCTCTTCCATTTTTACGGGGGTTCACAGCTGAGTTTGCCTCGAGTCTTGGAGAATATGGACTTTTCAGCAATGCTGGAGTAGTTAAGACTTTGCTGCCCCTTGGGGGCGGATTGTATACATTTTGCATTCTGAACCTTGGGGGACAGAGGTGGCATGTTACAATTCGGGTCTTAAATGTCCCCCAAAGGTTCACAAGCTAAAACAGTCGGCAGCCTGTGCTCCTGCTGGAAGTGGTGAGATCTTTAGCAGGCGGAGCCTAGTGCCATTGGGATTCGTCTGAAGAGGATGCTAGGACCCCAGGTTGTCCCTTAAATCCCAGCTGCCATAACAGGCCTGCTCTGCCATGCACTCTCGCCGTACTTGTGCTGCCACAGTCCCAAAGCCGAGGAACAGGGCCGAGAGACTACAGACCGGAACTATAAGCCAAGTAAACCTTTCCTCCTTGTAAATTAAGTCAGTTCTTCTGTCCTCGCAACAGGAGGGTGTATGGCATTTTCTACAAGAACATCCCCCACCCCTACTCCTTCATCCAGTTAACACTACCCGTTCTGAGGGTCTGAACTCGATGTCACCCCCTCTGGAAACCTTTCCTCAGACCCCATTCCACATCAAGTCCCTGGATCCCTTGCTCTCCTGGAAACCTTCTCTCGCTCATCAGCGCAACCTGCTGTGTGGCTTCTGAAATGCATCTCTGCCTCCCTAGACCACTAGATAGCAGGTAGGGGCCGAGTTGTGTCTGCCTCTGCCACCTCAGCACCCCTGACCTGGCACGGTGCCCGGCATGAAGATGGCAAACTAGACTGACCGAATGGCTCCGGTGTCACCGCCCTGCAGCGAACGGCACTCCCTTTTCAACACCAGTTTAGAAAGCCAGGTCTTCTTTCCTCCACCAAGGTCACAAAGCAGCAACAGCATCCTCAAACCAGCCAATCCTGGCAGTTAAAAATCTGTCTCTCCCCTCTGTGGGAGCCAAGCTCCAGGAGGGTACTGGATGGGATGAGGGACACACCCACCTGGTTCTGCTGGCCGGGAGGCAGACGCATCCATCATTTGGGAGCTCTGATTCCGCATGCCGCCACAGGGCGGGCGCCAGGCATACTCTGGCTGCAACAAAACTGATGCTTAATCCACAGCCACAGGTGAAAATCGCAACAGCAGATAGCACACCAGAGCAGACCCAGGTATGTGTCAACCGAGTCCAACTACACCCTCAGAAGTATCCCCGCTAACACTCCCACGTAGACACTGAAGCTCAGAGGGTAGGAAATAAATGTAACCCAGCTAGGAAAGCGGCCAAGCTTGGCTCTGAGTGACTGAACTCTTCTGCCTACACTCTGCTCCAGTGTACAAAGAAGGCACCCTGGGGAAGCTGGAGAGGACGCCAGTGACACCCAGGGCAGAATGGGGATGTGGCAGAGGGACTGGAGAGGAGGGGCAGGTGATGTTTTTGGGAGAAAAAAGCAGTAAGCGAAAACGAAAGAAAGATCAGAGGAAAGAAGAGAAAAAGAAGAGGAGTAAAAGGAAAGAAACACAGCCAAGCTCTGGAAGCTGGCGCCCGTGGGACGGCGGAGTCGAGCGCACACTCTGCCCGCCTTTCTGCCCCATGTCTTGCTCAGCCTCTCCATCGGCCCCAGGGAGGCTGACCACCCGGGGGAAGAATCCTCGTCCCTGGGAGAACCCTCCCCCTGCCCATCGGTGCCTACAAACAGGAAGTGCCGAGGCTGCAGCGTGGACATCTTCCCGGACCTCCCTCCCCAGAAAGGGTGTGCCCTGGGGAGGGGCAGACTCACCAGATGGTAGAGGCGTGGGCCGGGGATCGGGGGCGGGTGGTCCATGCCCACGGGGGGCGGGGGATAGCGGACCTGGGACCCATCGGTGCCTACAAACAGGAAGTGCCGAGGCTGCAGCGTGGACATCTTCCCGGACCTCCCTCCCCAGAAAGGGTGTGCCCTGGGGAGGGGCAGACTCACCAGATGGTAGAGGCGTGGGCCGGGGATCGGGGGCGGGTGGTCCATGCCCACGGGGGGCGGGGGATAGCGGACCTGGGACCAGTCCTCGTAGCCGTGATGCGGCACCATGGCCGGCACGGGCGGGTAGGCGTAGGGGTAGGCCCCGCAGATGTGGTCCGCGTGGGGCTCCGCGTGGCAGCGTTCTCCCGAGGCCTGCAAGGAGCACTCACAGGTGGCTCTGCCCAGCAAGACGGCACAGCGACACCACGTCTGCCTGCTCCCACGATCCCGGCCCTTTGGGGGCACAGAGGTCAGGGATGTGGGCACGGAATGCCGGGAGGGACAGCCTGGTGCCCGGCACAGAAACATGCTTTGTGGGCACAGAAGGGTGGGCGTGAAGACAGACGCCTGGCAATGCCCACGGGGACCGACGGCAACGACAGCGGCGGGGCACACCCGCACCGGCCCCAGCTCTGCTGCTCACCTTGGCTTTCCTCTTCTGCTGCCTCAGGGCTTCTTTCGCCTTCTCCTCCTCCTTCAGTGCCTTCAGCTGGGGGTGGGGGTGGGGGAAGCTCGCTGACACGGGTGGTTCCCTGGCCCCAGGTGGACCCCGGGAAGGAGTGAAGTTCGGGTGGGCCCTGCTCTCTGTGTGTAGTCGGAGGCAGGTCAGGGGTGTGCTGCTTCTGGGCTTTAACATCTACTTCTGTCCTGTGACTGAGTGGGAGGCCAGGGTCAATCCCTAAATTTGATTCTCTAAGCATCAAAAGGGACCAGTGCAGAGCCAGGCATCTTGGACTTCGACCTTGTCGCTGCACAGGGGCCAGAGAGGGCAGAGGACCTGGTGGTCCCGAGTGGAAGAGACCAGCAAGTGGCTGCAACCTGTCCCTCCCGGGGCCGTTGCTCCCACCTGGGTGTGTGACAAGGTGACCTGGGCCTGCAGTTTCTCCACCTGCTTCTTCAGCTCCTCCTTCTCCTCGTTCATGCGTTCCCGGTCGCTGCGCTCCCTCTGGAAGTCCTCCTCAAAGATCTTCACCTGCGCACGGTGGGCCGGAGGGCAACTCTGAGCGAGGCCGCCGGCCAGGCAGGCCCAGACCTCACACTCCGGCCGGGGCCGCTGGCATCAGGGGGCTTTCACACAGTCTTGGGCTTCCCCGTGGATGGGAGGGTGCACTGCCTGCCCGCATGCCCAGCCTGGAGCAGAACAGCTCGCGTCCCTCTCTCTTATGTTCTGACTTTATGGGGGAGGCATTATTTCAACAAAAATCCATGGCTTAAAAAAAAACGAAAGCCATTAACCAGCGCGCTCAGGCCCGCGGTGGCAGAGGTGGAGGCTGCCGTGGCCTGTGGTCGGCCGGCTCAGACCCAGGGCAGCCTGCACTGGGGCTCTGGGTGCTCAGGCAGGGGTGGCTCGGGAGTCTGCGGGGTCTCGGCTCACTGGTGATCGTGGGCGCTGACTGGGATCTAGATGGTTTAGGAGGATCGAAAGAGCAGCACGACACAGCGTGGGAAGCCGGGGCCTTCCACTGCGCTTCCGGTCCTCTGTGGCCCTCAGAGAGAGAGCATCTCTTCCATTTGCGGCAAATACAAAGGTTTTTCCATTTATAGTAGCAAAAAACGTTCCCTTTTAAATATATGTGCTCAAAATTGATTTTTATGTAATACGTAAGGCAGAGCCAGTGGGGCAGAGGGCTACGCCGTAACGGTGGTGCGCAAGGGACTTAAGCAGGGGCGTGAGCCAGCCTGGGCACGGGCCTCTCCTAACAGGTACCCCGATTCCAAGCCATCACTGGCCCTCAGGAAAAGAAGGCTCCAGCTCCCCCAGGCCCCACCTGCTGCTTCAGCAACTCATTCTGTGTGGCCAGCTCCTGTTTCCTCAGGAGGCTGCCGGCTCCTTCTGGGCTCCCGAACGCCGTGGGGGATGATGGGGAGGCGCGGATGCTCAGTGCTTCCTCCAGGGCCTGGGTCAAGGAGAGGAGGACAGGGCCATCAGGGGAGGACAAATGAAAGCTGGGAAGTCAGGGCCCCTTGGAGTCATCTTCAGGGCCCGCTTCCTGCTCACGGTGAAAATAATAACCATCATCAGTAGGGGTTACTGCATAGTGCTGACTGTTAATACTCCACACACGAGACTCTGGAAGCCTCTCCAGGCCTAGGAGGAGGAGACTAGAGTCACCACCCTCACTTCTACCTCTCAGATGTGATGGCAGAGGCTGAGACCCAAGGCGCTCGTCCAGGGCCACACAGCGAGTGGCAAGGCAGGGCTCAAACCTGGCATGGACCCTGACCAGAGCGGGCTCACGTGCAGGGAGCCCAGTCTGACAGCTGCCCTGCCCGACCACGTGGCTCTGGCTCTCCAGCGTCGGCAGTGCACTGCCCGGGCCTCCGGGCTTGCGAGACAACATCAGTCTCTGCCCCTCTCACACTGAATGAAGATGCACTGGGACATCAAAGAGCACCATTCCGAAAGGAAAGCAGCAAGTCCCCACGTTCACAGCACGGTCCTGCAGACGGTGCGCTTACATCTTTTTCAATTGTTTCTGTGGCAGGGTCTTGCTACGTAACCCAAGCTGGCCCCTGCCTCATCCTGCAGGGAAGCAGATGAAAGCTGTGCACCACATGCCCAGCTCCTCCATCCCGAAGGCTCCAGTAACTGCTCTTCCCGCCCACCGTGTTTGTTACCCGCTGCTTTACGGCTCAGGATCACTCAGGGCCAGTCACCTTCCCCAGCCCCTCGATGGTCCACTGCCCTGCTGGGCCCCAAGGAAGGTGCCTGGCCAGGAGTCTGTTCTGTGGTCTGAGGGGAGGCGATGGCTCCACTCAGCTTCCTACCTGGCCCGTCTCCTGCACAAGCAGACTGAGGCCCGGGGACAGGGAGAGACGCCTCAGGCACAGGCACGACAGGCTGCCTGGCTGCATGGCTCAGTCGCACAAGCATCTCTGTCCGCAACTCTGCCAAGAAAACCTGCAGGTTCCTCCTTGTCATGAGCAGCATGGGCAGGATTCCGCCAGGACCTCCCCACAGCCAAAGGGCTTAGGGCACCCACACTTTCCCCTTGGAAACAGATCCCACAGTGCCTGGACTGGGCACACTGAGCGTCCACATACTGTCAAACCCAGACAGACAGGACTGGGACACAGGCAAAGCTGACCTCAGATCAGAGACAGAGCGAGAGGAAAACCACCGGCACAGAACCAGGAGCCGAGCCACAAGTACAACAACCTCCCAGGCCTGCAGAGAACACTTCCTTTCCAAGCTCTGTTCATCCGTCTGTCCAGTCAACTGCAGCCCCCACCTTGCATTGCAAGGAGAGCAGGACAAGAATGACTGGAACCAGACAGCAAGAACGAGGCCCAGCATCTGCGCTGGCCAAGCCGGGACTGGAACCAGGCCTCACTGCTACTCTGCCCGGCCAGGGGCGGAGCAAGGCTGGGTCTACAGCCAGAGAGGTGCCCTCCCCAAGGAGGCAGAAGCCAACGAGCTCACGAGTGCTCCTGGGAACGCTGCTGACAAATGCTCTAGGAGCACAAAACAGGGAAGGCTCTGCTGAGTGAGATGTTAAGGCAGGGGAGGCCCACCAGAGCCCCACGAAGAGCCCTGAGGGGGCGCTCACAGAGCAGCCGCCCCTTCTGAGCATCCGGGGCCGCCAGGTGCCCACCTTGTTGAGCCTCTGGATCTCCTTCTCCTGGTACTCGCGCTGCCGGGTAAGTGGGCTCAGCTGATCCTGCAGGTGCTTGACCTTCTGGCGCAGCTCCCTGGCCTCCGCGGTCAGCTGCTCTTTGTCGGTCTGCAGCGGGCATGAGGTGGGTAAGTGGGGGCGCTTCAGGATGCCCTCATCACGAGCGCCGCCTCTCCCTGCTCAGCCACGCCCTCGCTTCGCTGCGCTCGACCCAGCAGGGCATGGGGAGGGGCAGACGGCCCACCGGCCCACGCACACGAGGCCTGGAGTCTGGGATCCAAGCTTTCTAAAGGCCAGGGCAGGGGGCTCGTACCATGGGCCATTGGGGCTTCGCAGGGCCGCACACCCCAAAGTGAGCACAGCATCCTCTCAGAGCCCTGTGCGACCCTGAGGGCGAACCATGGGTACCACCTGAAGGGCCTTTCCGCACCCGCCAGGGCAGGCCGGACAGTGCCCAGGGCGGGACACACACACCGGTGAGGCGGTATGAGGGACAGACACATCTGTCCGCATCTGTGCCACCCCGGCCCACCCACCCTGTGGCGGCCTCATGACTGCACGCCGAGCAGACCACAGCCCGCGCGTGGCTCCTGCGCTGCACGCGTCCCAGTACAGCTCCGGGATGCGAAGATTTTAACTGGACATGAAGTTCTTCAGAATGAAAACACAGAAACCCAAAAAGCAACAGCTAACCCAGCCTGAGTTTTCCCTGAGCACCAGCTCTGGCTCCCGGACTCCCCCAGGTCCCTGGTGGGAGAAGGGTTCAGACCGCAGGGCCGGGTCACACTTGCCTCCTCCATCTCAATCTTAGACTTGGCCAGCAGGAGCTTTCGGTCAAAGTCACGCTGCTTCTGCTCCCGCTCGGCCTCCAGCTCTGCCACCTGCTTCTGCAGGTCCCCCAGCTTCTGGCGCAGCTCAGTGATCTGGGTGGAGAGGCAGTTGGGAGCGGTGGTGAGGACAGGGGTGTGGAGTGTGTGGGTCTCTGCTGGGCCCTCCCTGGGAGCACCAAGATGAAGACACCGGAGGGCACAGGCAGGAGCCCCCACAGTACCTTCTGCTCGTACTGCTGCTTCATGGACCGGAAATGCTGGTCCCACTGCTTGTTCACCTCCAGCAGCTGTGGGAGAGATGAGTCAGAAGCAGGGAAGGATGGGGCCTCCTAGTCCCCCACACCAGCGCCCTGCAGTGTGTACAGTGTGCACACTTCTCACACCCAGGCTCCTCCAAGCGCTTCTCCGTGCCTGTCACTGCCCGCTCCCCTAATGCTCCCGAACCCGACACAGACAGCGACATTTCACCGAGTGGCCAGGGAAGAGCTAGAATTCAGGGCGCACTGGGGAGCCCCCCACTGAACGCGCCTCTGCCATCACCTCCTCCCGCATCCACACAGCACACCAAAGGAGCCCAGCCCGCCCCAGGGTTCCAGGCCTCAAGAGTGACACCGTGGGCAGTGGGCAGGCCAGGGAGGATGGCAGTTGGCTCAGGGCGAGCCAGGTGAAGAAGCAGGCAGGGGACATGCTGAGGGTCCCAGGAGGGGATGGGGTCTCCCTGAGCCATGCAGCCACCCACCTCCATGCGCTGCTGCTCCAGCATCTTCACCTTCTTCTCGGCTGCACCCAGGGCGCCCACCCCTGGGCCCTTGCCTGCCAGCACACCAGCCTGAGGAGAAACACATGGCTCCTGCCTGGGGTCCTAGGTCTGCGGCCCTAGCCCCGCCCCCGCCCCTGCTCCTCCCACCCCAGCACACACCCCTTCCTCTTCTGCCAACTCCTCTGGGAGCTGGGCCCTCTAACTTTCTGGGACCCTCCACTCCTCTCCACCCAGCCAGCCTTCTCAGTTTGGGCTCCACCCCCAGGTGCGGCTGGGCACACCCTCCCACCTACATACGTCAGCCCATAAGGCAACAGTTACTATTAGCCGGGCGTGGTGGCTCAAGCCTGTTATCCCAGCCCTCAGGAGGCTGAGGCAGGAGGATCGCTGAGTTCGAGGCCAGTCTGGGCTACACAGTGAGTTCAAGGTCAGCCTGAACTACATAGTGAAACTCTGTCTCAAGAAATAAAAAAATAAATAGATGGATAGTCGAGTACTTTTGAAGTTTTATCAAAACTTTATCAAAATTAAAGTTTTACAAACACATTTACTTAAAAAGCATTTTTAGGATGAAAATGACATGCATGAACACATGGTTAGTATATGCATATATCATTCCTAGCTCTGTCCTCTGGAAAGACATACAGCAGGGACATCTCAGCAGCAATGCATATACCCCGTGCTTACAGCTTGTTCGTTTTGAGACATGGTCTCGCTACGTAGTCCAGACTGGCCTTGAACTCACAGTGATCTTCCTGCCTCAGCCTCCCGAGGGCTGTATCCACAGCTTGGTTTCTAAACACCATTTCTTAATACAAATAAATAGGACTTGTTAGATTAATTCTAGGGCTTAGGGCAGAGAAAATATAAAATGACTTTGGAGGATGATACAGTGTCAGAGTTTAAGGGAGTGCTCAGAATAACGATGGTAACAGGAATAAAAGGGACACAACAAAGGAGCATGGGAAAAAATGTCAAAGGGTTTCCTGTGCAAAAGCTTAACAATCTCAACAGCTAAATAAGGCATCATATAGTGGATCATGAACCACAGTATAAAGAGCCTTGATTTTGTAATGATATGAATAGCTCAATAAGGACATAAGCAACACATCTTCACACAAGATTTTCAATTAAAATACGGGAATTATGAAGGCAACACAAAATCACCTTAAAATGTGACAGTAATGAAGGCTGTGGTGAGATCCACCACTGAGCACTAAAATTACTGAAAAATGAGAATTTAAGGAGAAACAGGATGTTTGCATGGCCTCAAAATTTCTCCCCCAAAATATTTGTTAAAACCAGGCACAATGCACACTCCTGCAACCTAAGCAGCGTGGAGGCAGAGATGAGAAGACAGAAAATTTGAGACCAGACTGGGCAACTTGGTGAGACACTGTTTCAAAACAAAATTTAAAAAGGGCTAGGGCCAGGTATTAAGATCAGCAGCACAGCGCCTGCCTCACAAGCACAAGGTCCCAAGTTCCATCCCAGGTACAAAAAAAAAAGAAAGTGCAGGAGATGTAGCTCAGAGGTACAGCACTTGCCTACCATGTTTCAGGCCCTGGGTCTGATCACCACTGGCTGGGGGAGGGGGAACAAAACTAAATACAAATTTTAAATTATTAATGAACAACGAGTCACCGAGTCACTTGCTTTGGACCCAACTGACAGAACCCTAACCAAGGGATGGAGGGTAGAAGTGGTGACGTGTTGACACCATGCCATCTGGCCGTGTGTGCAGAGCGTCACTCCCTCCAGACCCTCGCAGGCTGAAGAACCGTCCACAGAACACCTGGCCAGGGCAGCTCCAGGGTCAGTCCGGGTCAGGAGAATAAGGAACCGCTGGGATGGTCCCCACAGCAGGACCCAAGGCGGCACTGCTGAGAGCCTCCCGGACCCTGAGTCCCCTCCCGGCATTCAGCATGCTGACAGGGGGCCAGTTAAGGCTGCAGGGCAGCTGATGCACACACTCAGAGACCACCGGTCTGGGGTCCGAATCAGGGACAAGGCTGGCATTAGTGCAGCCCAGTGGGGGAGCGGGACCTCTGCACTATTTCCCACACGTTTAAAACGATCTCAAAACAGTTTTTAAATCAAATAAAAAGCATTGACGTGAAATCACAGAACAAGGCTCAGAGAAGACAAACAGCTCTGGCTCCAGCTCCAGGCCCTGTGCGACCCTCGCAGCTGCGCTGCCCCAGGCCTCAGCACAGGATGAAGCAGGAGGGGCCTCATGGTCCGAAGGCCTGACACCAGGGTCGCCCCTCCTCTCCACCTCCCCCAGGCCAGAACTGTGGGGCTCGCACGCCCCCTACGGGCTGAGCCTATAAGCACAGCAACAGCAGGGAGCAAGGTGCTGGGGAGAGCTGTGCTTAGTCACAGGACCCGGCTACAGGCAAGGGGAACGAGGGGCCTGAGGGACGCCAGTAGGATCCCAGGGGCAGCACCAGGACCGCCGTGGAGAAGAACTGTGTGGAGAAAGGAGAGTGGGAAGAGAGAGCCCTGACGGCTGGCAGCAACCTGCTCGCCATTTCCCACGACAACCCAGCCCGTGTGCTGCATCAGTGCGGACACCCCACAGTCCCGAGGGAGGTGTTTGTTACAACTTCTGTGTCAGAGGAAACTGAGGCCCAGGGTCGTGGAGTCAGGCACTGGAACATACACCCGATGGGACCGTGACCCGGGGTGCGCGGGGCCCCTGCGGAGGCTCAGCACCTCTGGGAGGTCAGGACAGCCCACGGCCTCCTAGCAGGCTGGACAAGGTAGGCCTGGAGCTGAGGGGCAAGGGGGGGAGACAGGGTCTGCATGGCCTGCTTCAGAAGCCGTCCACCTAGTGTTTCCCTGCCTGTACCCACGTTTGCCCGAGACAGGGGACCTCGCTCTGTCTCTTGTCACAGCTGTGGACTGGAGGAAGAGTCCCAGGCCCGCCTGCCAGCAGGAAGCGAGGAGTACAGGAGAGCACAGATTTGCAAGGCCTGGGGCAACAGTGCACTGCTGCACAGTAACAAGGAATTACTGAGGTAATGACAACTGCTGCATAGTTTCTGGCTTGTTAAAGAAACCAGCCCCGCTGTGCAGCCATTAAACCCCATTTACAAGAAAAAACAGGTCGGTAAAGAGGTGGGAGCTGGGGACAGTGAGACTGCGCAGGGGCACCCGGGACCTGCTGTGAACCAGGACTGGGTCTGGAGGCAGCAGGAGGAAGCAGCTGGCCCTGGGCACAACTGGGATAAGCTGATGATGGCTAGAGGCTCCCGGGGTTCAATCACAGGAGCTGAGCTGCTCCCGTAGGGGCTCATGAACCCAACACCCCAATTCTTCCTAGAGATGTTAAGCTGACTCTTGGGGGGCCCCCTTTAAGAGATTGACAAACTGGGATGTGCTTCGGGACCACGCCCAGATGAGCGAAAGACTCAGCGGCACCTTCTACACACCAGGGCTGAGTGACTGGCAGCTTGTCAGCCGGGAGAGGGCCGCAGAGCCCACAGCTCTGGGCGTGTGTCCTGGGGAATGGGCTGGGGCATTCTGCCGGGGCGCACGCAGGACAAAGGACGAGGAGTGGACGCTCCGGGGAGCAGGCATCGGGCCAACCAGACCTGCCCGCCTCCGTCACTGCAGGTGGTGAGCGGACACTGGGTACCAGTGCCCCAGGGGGCTTCTGACCACATACCTGCTGCTGTCCTGCCACCCCCTTCTTGCCAGCACCCTCCAGCTTCGGCGAGCCTGGCTGCCCGCAGGTCCCCTCTTTGTTGCTGTTGCTCATCAACAACTTCTTGAGCTCCATATTTTCCTCCCTGGGTTGGACGCAAACAGAGAAGTCAGAGTGCTGGCCCTGGCAGGAGGGGCCAGCGTGGCCTCAGACTGACTGCGGTGTGAGCTACAGGAGGCCTGAAAGAGCCTCCTCCAGCTGCGCCAGAGCCCGAGGGGCCCAGCAGTCAGGCTCCCACGCATGCCACGACAGCTGCAGACGTGTCCGCCCTCTCCAGCCACTCCATGTGTCTCGGGTAGAGCAGGACAAGGCCCTTGTGTGGTGCTGCTGGGTCCTGGGCCCCTTGCTGGCACTTGTGAGTCTCCCCTGTTATCGGGAAGAGCGGCCACAGGCTCAGGGTCTTCACCAGCAGTGACACTTAGCCAACCGACTCTTGATACCCTTTCATCTTACTCGTATTTATCTTCAGTTAGCCTGTATTTAGTAAAGGTAATGTTTTCTATTTACTCTAGTTAAACTTTCTTTATAATGCTTTTCAGTAAAACATGAGTCAAACTAAAATCTTAAGTACAAAGTAAGACCAGTGTTATAGAACAGAAGTGGTGACGTGGATTCGGGGATGCCTGAAGTATGGAAGACGCTGCTTTAAATTCTATTTGCGAGACATTTTCCACTCAATAACCAACAAGCCAAGAGGCGAGGCGGCTTTCCCCGCACACGGTGAGTCTTTCCTCCAGCCCGCCCTTCTGCGTCGCAGCTGCAGTCGGTTTGGCTGTAAAACCCCCTCTCCCCGGCCAACCAGAAGTGGGTACAGACACGCATGGCCACGCTGCAGAGCGCTCCTTCCCTCTGTGGACTACCGGGGTGGGTGGGGTGCAAACACCACCTCTCCCGCTCACGCAGAGGCACGGCAGCATCTCACACATGCAGAGCAAGGAGGCCCAGGCTCTCGGGAGACCAAAGCAGGCCCCTCCCTCTCTGGGCCCCAGTCTCCCTCGCACAAGGAGCTGACAATGAACCTGCACCCACCTGCAACACAGCGACAGACGATGGATGAGATGCAGACTCCTAGCCTCACCCCTCACCCAGCCGAGGAAGGGAGTGGAAACAGTAACATCCTCCCGACTCTCTTCAGCCTGAGGCCCACAACAGTCCAGACAAAAGACCTGCCTGGCCACCAGAGGGCAGCAATGCCCTGAGCCCGCTCCCACACAGCAGCAGGACGACGGTCAAACTCACTCCAGGCGAAGGAGGCAAGTCCCCGAGGGGCGGCTCAGGCACTCTGTAGTAAAAGGGCCTGAGAGGAGCCCTGCATCCTAACAGCCGGCTCTGAGCACCCAGCCTCTGCCCAGACACAGTACGACACGCAGTCCTGCCGCCACTGTCACCCCTCCCAACAGCGCACTTACCGCAGCCTCTCCGCAGCCTGGTCCCGCTGTTCCAGGCCCTTGTCCAGCTTGGCCTTCAGGGCCTCATTCTCTTTCCTAAGCTGCTCACATAGTGTCTGTGGGGGGAGGATGGATGAGGCTCCGGGGAGCAGAGGGGCACCCCTTTCCCATGCAGGTGGGGCTGGGGGCCAGGGTATGGGCCAGGGCCCAAGCCTCAGCCCCCGAACGGGACTCGCTCAGTCCCATACTGGCCATGAGGGCGCTGACCAGGCCTCTTGGTCCTGTGGGAAGACCTGTACCCCACACCTCCTCTGCCCTCTGGCCTTCGACCCCGTTTATCTCCTCAGGGAAAGCAACTCCCAGACTCATTATGCCTCGCCTCAGACTTGTGAAATGTACAGCGGAACAGTGTTTTTAATTTATGTTTTCTGTTTGTAATTTTGGTACCGGAGATTGAACTCGGGTCCTTGTGCTTGAGAGGCAGGCGGTGGCACCACTGAGCTACATCTCTGGCCCTAAATTCATGTTTTCTAACACCCACAGTCAGGGAGCTCTCATTCCCACCACAGCCTGGCCCCCCACATGACCGTGGGGCTGAGTGGGGACTGAAGGGTCAGACGAGGGCATGGAGCCTGCGAGAAAAGTCGGCAGAGTCCCAGGTGGGCGGGCGGGCGGCAGACAGGCCCCAGGGTGACCATGCCCGCAGGGGTGGCCTCCTCCACAGAAGGGGCAGCTGCTCCTTCTCTGTCCCCCCCTGGGTCGTTCTGCCACCAAGGATGCTGGATGAGGACTAGCACACCTCGGGGTGGGGGGTGGCTGGACTCAGGCCTCCCTTGTGTGGGAAGATGGGAAGAAGCCACCAGGCAGTGCTGACGCACAGTCGGGTGGAAGTGCTCCTACGTACAACACGGCTGGGTGCCTGTCCAGATGCTCCCCTAGGCACCTCAAAACTCTTCCAAAGCTAAGTAATTCATCTCTGTTTTAAAAGCAGGGACACCAGGTAAAATAATATATGTGAAGTTGTACCATTATTGATGATCACCACGGGGCTGGATGTGGTAGTACACACCTGTAATCCCAGCTATTTGGGAGGCTGAGGCAGGAGGATCTTGAGTTTGAGGCCAGCTTGAGTAATTTAGTAAAACCTTGTCTCAAACTAAAAAAATGGCTGGGAATGCAGCTCAGTGATAAGAGTCCTCTGGGTTTGATCCCCAGCTTCACACACACACACACACACACACACACACACACACACACACACACTCTAAATGAAGGGAGAAAGAAAAAAGAACCTTTGCCCCTCAACTTGCACTACCTCTGGTGACCCTAAACCAGCATCTCCTTCCTCTGATTAGAGTGGAGAAGGGAATGGTAGAGCCGCAGGTCAGCCAGCCCTCCAGCGACACCTGGGGGGGAGCACTGGTTCTGGGCGAAAAGTCCTCCCACCCTCCCTCCCACACCTAGGCTCACTGCAGGGGAACAGGATGGGCGTGGTGACCGCTGACCGCTGCCTCTTTCAGGCTGGCTCCGCACAATCCCTGGGTCTCATTTTACCTGGATAGGAGCCAAGGGTCTAAGGAACTGTGAGGAGCAGAAATAGACCCTGCCACCCAGAACCCGAGGGGACACATCTGCATGTCACCCGGGAGACTCCAGAGCGCCGGCTCCCTTCCGGAAGGCAGAGTCCTGGAAGGGCTGAGTGCAGAATGCCTTGGCCAGCAGGTGACCGCACAAGACCAGGCTGAGGCCCAGGAGACAGAACATTGCTGCTTCAGGCTCCCTGAGTGATGCATGAGGCCTCAAAAATGTTTCCTGAGTAACAACAAATCAGCTGAACGAATAAGGAGGAACCGGATCAATCCACTCCACTCACAGGCCTCCGTTGCTGCGGGCAAGGCCTCCTGGAACAGAACATCCTGCTCCTGGACACAGGGAGGCCACCAAGGGGCCCTGCCTGCTGCCCTCCCAGGCCAGAGGGGAAACGTAGCCAGCGGTAGATCGCCAGTCAAAGGGGCCCCAGAGAGCACACCTTGTGTGCATTTGCTCCTTTGCTCTTTTCATTCACTTTCATTCACCAAATGTGCGCTGAGGGCAGGAGCTGGGTTACAGTGAATACAGCAGACAAGGGACACACCCACCTCATGCAGCCTGTGTTCCAGCAGGACATGCAAGGAAGAGAGAGACTGAGCCAAGAAACTAGTGCCCACTGAGAAGGAAACAGGCAGAGCTGCGTGCAGAAAGCTAAGAGGCTGGTGAGACTGTCAGGAAGCCAGGGTCCCTCTCCATTTTGGCTGAACAGCTGATGCGCCCAGTGACCACCGCCCACACTGCGCCTGGATACCAAAGCTTCTGTGACAGAGGGGTACCCTCCCGTAGCCTGCCCTGCAGACCTCCACCTGCTAGCCCCTCCACCTCTGCCCTGCGCCCCCATCTCTCTCCTCATGCCACTCCCAGACTGGACACACTCTGCTTGTCGACCCCAGGCTGCCTGAGGTTGTGCAGGTGGCCGCTCTGGGGCATCGGCGACTCAACACCACTGACCAGTGACTGGCAAGGACTACAGAGATGTCACAGTGCAGCTCTGTCCCCATGGTCACAGGCCCTCGCCTGAGCAAGTCCTCCAGGATCTCTGACATGACATGATCTTTCCCACCTGCAGGGCCCCCAAGGGCAGGACTGCCCGGCACGGGTGGCCATGCTTATGCCATCCTGCACTACTCGTGTCCTGCACAGACTATCTTCTCCATGGCACCAGGCGCTTCCTGTGGGTTGCCTCGCTCAGCACGATGGCATGGGGAAGGCGTCCCGGATAAACGACCTGTCCAAGGTCACACAGCGATAAAGAACGAAGGACCACGTAAGTCTAAGGCCTGGTGTGGCACAGCAGGGCAATCTGCCTATCTTTCACATGGGGAAGCTTTTAAGAAGAGCGCACCCAGGGCGGCAGGTTGGGATGGTGGCTAAGAGCACGGGCTTCTGATCGGCAGTGCCAGGGATTGAGCCCTGGACCTGCACACTGAGCTACACTCTCAGCCATTTAATAAAATTTTATTTTGACAGGGTGTTGCTTAGTTGCTAAACTGCCCAAGCTGGGCTGACCCCTCCTGCCTCAGTGTCCCAGAGAGCTGGGATTACAAGAGATCACCACCGGACTTGGCTAAGAATACGGAAGGCTGGGGTTCCAATTTTAACTCCATTTACCAGCTAGGCGACTTTGGGCAAGGAGCATCAATTCTCAGGGGCTGTTTCCCCACTGTGAAGCGGACGCCACACTGGCTTCCACCTCAGGTGCAAGGGGAACTTCTGTTCCTGCCCCCGCTGCACAGAAGCACAAAGGCAGGGTCACGCCCACCTGGTCTCCCCACCTCCCTCTCTCCCTTACACCGCCCCACAGCTTCCTCACGGCGTGGCCCTCGGCACCCTGAAAGGGAAGCACAGTCTGCCTGCAACCCAGCCCCACGGTGCCCAGGGTCCCCAAAGAGCTGCAGGGGGAGCAGGGGCAGGCTCACCTGCAGGATGGAGGTGCGCTGCTCGTTCTTGTGCACCTTGGAGGCCAGCCGGTTGAACTCCAGGGCCATGCGGCCCAGGTGTGTGAACAGCTGGCGCTGGTCCGGCTCCTCGGCGCACACGCTCAGGGTGGTCTCCAGGCGCTGCAGGTGCTGCATCAGGTTGCCATCCTCGCGGGGCAGGGGGCCCAGTTCCTGTGGGGAAGGGGATGCCGCTGCTCTCTGCCAAGGCCCGAGCAGGTGCCACCAGCACACCGCCCACTGCTTCCCCTTTCCTCACGACTCAGTTTCCCCCTTGGCCCCAGCGAGGCCTAGGGAAATTCTCCAGTTGCACAGGCTCCCTGTCTGGGCTGACTCACAGGGCAGGACCTAGACTTCCCAGGCCACTGGCTGGCTGAACAGCACCAGGGCCACCTTCCTCCCACACTTGGGGCCTCGCTGAGTGCCCTTGGGCAAACGGCTTTCCCTGGGTCTCAGCACCTGTCCTGGGCTTTTGCTGAGGAGGCAGGAACCCAGGCGAGCAGCAGTCCCAGTGAAGAGCCATCCCCAGCTCCTGGGAAGGTCCAAATATTCACCTGCCTCTCAAAGGGCCCGGCTCCAAAGAGGAAAGCCACAGCTCTAGCTAGTCCAGAGAATCCCTCCTGGTAACGACCCTGTGAAGCTGAGCAGATCACAGGCAAGACAACCCACCTCACCCTCTGCTCTCCCGAGAGTACTCTCACCAGTCACCGCCTCAGATGGGTCCACGCCAGGCCCAGGGCCCACGTGGGCTTGGCCTCCCCACAGCAGCAGGCAGAGCAGAGCTGCCCCCACCCCGGCCTGGCCCGAGCCCCTGCACCGGCTCCTGTGCTTCTCTGGGCTTCATTCCCACAGCTTCCTCTCTACCTCTGCAACTCCTGCTCCTGCGTCCCCACCCTGCCCACGCTCCAGCTCTTCCAGGAATGGGATGCACAGGGCAACCCAGGTATGGGAACTTGGCTCAGGCTGTAAACCAAGGCACAGACAGAAGGCATCTGTCACAGCTGCCCAGTAAGTCAGTGGCACAGCTCAGAACGAGCTGAAGGTTCCTGGCTGCGGTCGGCACTTCGGTGCTCTGCCTCGCAGCAGCTGGGCACTGGGTGCCGTCGGCCCTATCCGCTAACCAGCCTGGGCACTGCACCGCCTCCCCCACGCCTCTTTCCACAAAGGACTGAAACAAAGGGCTAAGGCTGCTTTCTCTATCTAAGGCTCATGGGGTGCTCCAAAGCCCTCGGACCTCTCCACCTAGCCCACCCTCTTCCTGGGGCAGGAGGCAAGCCCCTCTCTGCTCAGCAGATGTTGCACACGGTAGAGTAAGGATGGATTTATTCAAGAGGTGAGGTCACTGCCCAAGGGAGGTCTCAGAGGGGGGGACTGTGCCTGTTCAGCCAGCATTTGGGAATCTTCAGGGACAGAACAGGACAAGGGACACAGAGGCTTGGGAGACACAACATGGACTCTCCCTAACACAACCGTACAGCTGGCTGGCAGTAAGGAGCCTCTTCCCGGAGGCCTGCCACAGGGCGGGACGGCCCCCTCACACACCCGTGAGGCATCTGAACAGAAGAGCAGCCTCAGCCACCCAGCCCTGTATGAAACAGGCAGCAGGAAGCAGAGTATCACGAGGGTCAGAGCATGTGTTACTGGCATAATGCTAATTCTAAAAGACTCTGTTAGAAGGTAGAGAAAAAGAGGAGGTAGGAAGGAGTCTTCCACACCATTCACAATGGCTCGCCAGTAAGTCTGCCACTCTAGGCGAGAAAAGAAGGAAGACATAGTTGGGAAAACAGTGGCAAAGGGCAAGGCACAAAACACAGACGCTGGGAAGACACCTCAGAGCTGAGCACCTGTGCATATGCACATAGGTCTGTATGTGTGTGCAAATGGGAAGCTTAACCTCCAACCCTACAACCTGCACACAAGGGTAAAATGAACCACCTGCCTCTCGGCCCTGGGCTTTCCTGGCTCTTCTACTCCCCCTGGGCTTGGGCCCACAGACCATGGGGCCAAGTCACAGTGTGTGGAGGTGACTGCCCGTGGCACCAGGGCTGGCAGAGTGCCCAGATTTACAAAACAGTTGGGGGCTGTGTGCCCCACGCTGGGGAAGTCACAGCTGGGGATTTGCATGTGAGACAGCAGCACCATCTGATGCACCCCCTTCCGCCTGTGTCCCTGTGTGACTCCAACATATCCAAGGGATGCGGGTGGGTCCCAAGCTGCTCATACAGGAGCAGCTGACACGGCAGGGAGGGACGGCAGGACACACCCAGGGCCCAGCCACTCACCATTGCATTTCTGGGGAGGCTGCCGCCTTCGGGGGGAGAAGTCTGCTCCTCTGCAGGGACCACTTCGAATTCTGAGGACGTGCCCTGTGGAGAGGTGAGCGGCTGTGAGACAGCACACCTGGTCCTCTTGCTGGACCACTCTGCAGAGGGCAGGACAAAGGCGCCTCTCAACCAGCCCCACCAGGGAGCCCACTCTGTGCAGCCTTGCTGGCAGGGCAGCTCCATCATCCCCAAGGATTGCTCAGCAGGCTCCAGGGCGAGAGCGCTGCTCAGCTGTGGTGCGCACAGCCTGAGGGCGGGGCCAGGGCGGGGCCTGGGAACTCCACTTTCGGGCTGACCTACCTTCTCGGTTCTGCTGCACCGAGGCCCGAACCCACATGCTAGCCAAGTGCTCTACCAACTTCCCCTTGGATCACAGGTGTGCACCACCTCCCTCAGCTACGATTACACGCAGGGCTTGTACTTTTAGAATGTGTTCATGACCTTTATGAATCCTCAAAGCCACCCGTGGAGAGGGTCCAGAGGTGGCACCCCTTGGGACAGCTAAGGACAGAGGCCATGCAGACAGTGCAAAAGCAGGGACCGGGCCTGTGACTGCAGAGCTGCTGTGCTTCAGAGCTGCCTGCTCACCCATACGGCCCTGGCAGCTCGGAGATGGCAGTAACAGCTGCTACGGCTACCACCAGACAAGCTCACGTGCCACTCTCAGAAAACAGACTGAGCTGAGGAAAGTCCCAAGGCTGCAACAAATGCAGACTTTCAGAACTCACCCAAACTCACAGCAATCAGCCAGTCCCATAATTTCTTGTGCTTCTCAGCCATTCCAAGTAACCTCCCTGTCTGCTCACCTGACTGATGAGCCAACAGTCCATCTGAACCTGCACCAGCTCTAGGATTCCCATTAAAATTGGTTGCAAAGACCACTTCTCACCAGGTGTAGTGGCTCACCCTGTAATCCCAGCACACAGGAGGCTGAGGCAGGTGGATTGCTGTGCGTTGGAGGCCAGCCTGGGATAGTTGTAGTGAGTTCAAGGCCAGCCTGAACTACACAGCAAGACCCTGTCTCACAAAACAACAACAACCAAAGACTGTCTTAGCCTTCCCTTGTCCTGGCCAGGGCAGGACAGATGGAAGAAACCACATCCAGATTCCAGCAGAGATTGGGGAGCACAACTTCAACTCTGGACTGAACCCTGCCCCAGAAAGTTCTGCTCCACCCCTTCACCTTCCTGGTTCCGTGTGAGACCTCAAGGGAGGAAGGTCTTTTTCTCCTTGCACCAGATCTGTAGGAGGAAGATGCTCAACTACAGAATCCCTTGGGCACCTCCGAGCCCCATGATACCAAGCTAACCTTCCAGACCTGCAGAGGATACTTTTTTAAAAAAGGGTCTCTCTGTGTAGTTCAGGCTGGATGTGAACTCACTCTGTAGCCCAAGCTGGGCTCAAATTCACAGCAGTACTCCTGCCTCAGCCTCCAGAGTGCTGGGGTTACAGGCGTACACCACCATGTCCAGCTGCAGAGGATAACTCCTGGGAAGTCTGGGTCTCATCGCAGACCTACCTTCCTAGCACCAGGCAAGTCAGTGCACACTTAATACTCTAGTAAAAATATCTAGTAAAACAAATTCATTGCACATAGCAGGTCTTTCTTGTAAGTTTTAACTACAATTTTCATTTGGGCATTGGACAAACTGATGCCTCAGAGGGCTTGAGACTGACTTGCTCAGTACCACCTAGGAACCTAGAAGTCTGTTTCTTGGCCCCAACTCTTTTCTTCACATTTTTGTATCTCAGTAGAATCGTGAGGTCCAGCAAACCCCAGACACAGCTCCAAATGCAACTTACGCTGGATGGAGGTTTTGGGACCAGCACGGACTTATCGCCTGGGGGTACAGGAGCACTGGGTGGTGCTGGGACATTTGTGTCCTTTCCTGGAAAAAAATCAAGAGATCGAGGATGAAGATAATATCAAGAGATCATGGCCCCTCAAGGACAGTGCCTGACTGCAATGGAGAGCTCTCACTCGGATGGATTCTCCACGGGAGACAGGGAAATGGGCTGGCAGCTCTCTGACAGGACTGATGGAGGTGGAACCTGGACAGAAGCCATCCCTGGGTGCACTAAGGCAGCCCCTACTACCTGGGCCCACCTCAGTGATGATATAAGAACAATGATTTACAATCAAAAAGTACTTTTATACTATTTTCCTGGCACTGTATCCCCATTTAAAATTAAGGAAACAGGAAACAGGCTTGGCAAGACCAACTAGCCCACAGTCACCCCACCAGCAACTGCAAACCAGGACCCAAACTGAGCTATTTCTCCAAGCTCCTGGGGCTTTACTGCTGGAAGCTCGAAGATGGCTCTGTTTTACTCGGGGGTAGACCTGGCACCCAACAGGGACTTGTGCTGAATGGACAAGTGGAGGCTGGAAACGTCCACTGCCCGCGTACAGTGGATTCAGATCCCCGCTTCCTCCACTGGTCCACACAGCCAAGCAGAAGGCTATCGCATGGGCTAGGCAGAGATGGGAAGGTGAAGCTGCAGTCGGAGGCCACTGACTCCCACGTTCCCTGTCCCTGGACTCAGCCCCAGACTGGAAGACAGGCTGGAGCGATGCAGGATGACCACACAAGGCCCCTGGCACCCCTTCCTTTAACAGATAACGTCTGTGCCAGGTGTGGTGGCGCACGCCTGTAATCCCAGCCCTCGGGAGGCTGAGGCAGGAGGATCACTGTGAGTTCGAGACCAGCCTGGGCTACATAGTGAGTTCCAGGTCAGTCTCAACTACATAGTGAGACCCTGTCTCAAAAAACCAAACCAAAACAAAACAAAACAAAAACAAAAAAACCAGATAATGTCTGAAAGATGCCACAGCAGGCAAGCCCAGAGTCTTCTCCAAGCTTCAGCTTCTCTAATTACAAAATGGCGGGGGAGGGTGGCAAAGCAGACCGCTGCTGACTCATGTGTCAGCTCTGAGAGACAGGACGTAGGCACCGGCACAGGAGCTGCTGATGAAATACCTGTACCTGCTGAATAAATATGCTGGTAAAGGTCTTGGGGCCATGTCTTGGGTACAGTGGATCACTGTGACTTATTACTGAGTGCCAGCGCCAGGCCTCTGGAGTACTGAGTCAAGAGCCAGTAAAACCAGGCTGTGAAATCTCTTTCAGGTTTTCTGACTTTTCTGGGGGAATCTGTAGCCAAAATAGGAGAGGGATGTGGCCTAAAGATTAATGAATAGTGTGGCTTCAGAATGAAAAGGGTTGAGGCAGGGTTGAGGCAGTTGGGGCACAGGAAAAGGGAGAGCTATCCTGACTTCTCATACCTGTAAGCTCGGCCAGGTGGTCAAAGGAGCCCAAGGAAGGAGCAGGTGGCAGCTCGCTGTCCTTGACAAGCTCCTCAGCCTTCTGCCGGAGCCTGGACGCTTCCATCTGGGACTCCTCCAAGAGCTCCCCTAGAGATGGGGGGGGGCACACAACAAGGACGCACTTAGCTCCGTGCAGTGCTTCTTCCTGTCCCGTGGCCTAAACCTCCCTCTGTCTGGCTTTCAAGGCCCAGGCCCTACTCTTCACTACACCACCGGCTCGTAGCCCTGGTGGGACTACCGTACTGGTCTACAGCGGGCCTGGGTTAGAGTGAGGAAGAGGACCCAGCAATCTGGGAAACAAGAACGAAGGGAACATGGGAAGGACACCAGGTCCTCCAGCACCCTCTTTCCTGCCTCACTTCCCCAAACCTGGCCAGGGCACAGGAAGCCAGGGGCTCCCTAAGGGGCTGCCACCATGGCACTGCAAAGGGAGCCACAGCCTAAGCCCACTGCTCACATGGTGGAACCCTGAGACTATCACCCAGCACTCTAGGCCTCAGTTTCCCTTCTCTAATGCAAAAGGGCAAATTCCATCCTTTTCTCCCCAGTGGGCATCCCACACAGGGGCCTGCCAAGTAAAGGAAAGGATCTGAAAAGTCAGGGAACTATGCTCCTGCCACCTCCACACCCTGAGACCAGAGCAGGTGGTGCCAGGGCAGAGGAAGTTTTAGGAGCTGCAGGGTAGAGAAGTCTGAAAGGCCTGGCATGGAGGAGACAGCATGTGTGCTGGTGTGTGGGGAAAATTCGGGTAGGCAGTGGGGACAGCTTGAGCAGAAGCCAGAAAAGAAACTGAGGGGCCAAATGCCACTTAGCTTCAAGGGGGCTCTGCTCCCTGTCCCGCCTCTGGGCTGTCCCCCCGGCAAGGCTGGCTCTCCCCATCAGTCGTGCCCCAGAACATGAGACCACGCTGGTTTGGACCCACCAGTGGTCTTTCCAACCCCTACCCCATCCCGAGCACCCTCAAGGCCCTCTGGGTTGATGGGCTTGTTTCAGGGCTGGAAACAGTCACCATGCCATACAAGTGCACACAGACACACCCATGGGCAGGGCCAGGAGATCTGGGAGGAGGCAGAAATCAGCTGTGCCTCCCTCTGCAGGCTGCAGGAGGGGCTCCCAAGGAGGCAGTGGGTGCTGCTTTACCTAACATCTTTATCCCTTGCATTTTTTCCTTCAGTCGGGAATTCTCCTCCACTAGGCGCACAAAGGCTGCGGATGCCTCTCCCGGAGGTGTGCTGCCCCCAGGGTCGTAGATCCGGTAGGGTCCTCTCCCTTCCATGGGGGTGGCTCAGCCCTTGCCGTGGTGCCCACCTGGCTGTAAGGACAACAGCAGTGTATCAAGGGGCTGGCCAGGCCACTGGGTCATTCCTCCTGGGGAAGCTCTACTTTGCTAAGGCTCCAAAAGGCAATCCACATGACCCAGACAGAGAGCAGCTTTTCAGGCTGGTCTGACCACAGCACCAGGGAGCACAGCAGTGGCCTCCTTTGCTCTGGATGCTCTGCTCCTACTAATGCAACCAGAGAATGGTTCTGTTTCTTTCAGCGGCCTCCCTGTACGGCCAGCTCATTTGGGATGGCAGTCAACTACAGGGCTGCATTGCGCAATACAGGAAAGAACTGCTCTTGGAAGCGGAAAGCTTGCATTCATGGCCCGTGTGATGTGCCCAGGGCAGGGATCCTGCACACTCAGGATGCCAGGACGTAAATGCCCTGACACTCACCAATGAATAAACGGCCTAAGCCATTATTAACTCAGTGGGATGGGAGAGTCCCATCCCCTCTCTGATGAGAAATGAGAATGTTAAACTCAGTCAGTGAACTTTACAGCAAAGGAGAAAACCCTGACTAACATTTAGCACAGTCACCCTCCTCCTCTGCTCTCAGGTCACGAGTGATCCGTCTCTTCCAGTTCTAATGAACAGAAGAATTTCCCATCAGACCACTGTCTATTCGTTTGTACAGCAAGTTTCTCTGTACTAACGTGTTGGATTTCATCTGCTTTATTTCATTTAAAAATCATTCTGCAGAGCGCTTTCAGAACTCTGGCTCCATGACCGAAGGAGAGAAACTCTTCCCACTCGCCCATTCATTCAAAGACAAGTTACCGAGCCGCCCTGTGCTGGGGTCCAGGCTGGGGGTCAGGAGATCCTGTCTCCCGGAGAGGCCAGGTTCAAATCCCCACAAGGCCTGCCCAGAGCGAGCACAAGCACTGGGCACAGCCAGGCTCGCGCAGATAGAAGTCCCACCAAGCTTACCTCCAAGCAGTAGAGCAGAAAGAGCAGAAAGGACGCTAGGCAACACAGGGTCTCAGGTGACCGAAAGCCAGTGAAGAAATTAAGCAGGAAAGACAGGCAATGACTTTCATTTTAAAAGGAAAAGGAAGAAAGGGCTCGCACAGAGGGAGCCGTTTCAGCGACGACCTGACAAGAGGTGAGGGAATGGATGGCCAAGGAAGGAGCTGCCTGGAGAAGACTATTCCAGGCAGAGAGTAGCAAGGTTCAGCACTGAAAACATAGCCAGCCCCCAGCTCTAGGATCAGTACACAAAGCTTCCAGCAGGGCATCCACCAGGGGCCTCAAAAGACACAGGGAGGGCCCGAAATCTCCCTCCCCCAAACCGCCCCTCCAAGACAAAACCTGTCCGCCTTAGGGGTCCTCAAAGGCCCTTTCCAAGGAAAAGTGAAGCAGAATGAACGATCCCGCCACTGGTTAAGCGCCAGTTCCCCAGGCAGTGCGTTCAGTACTCGAGTGTATTCTCCCCACCCATCTACACAGTAACCCTGAGACACACCAACATCAGCTTGTTCCGCTGCACACAGTGGAGGGCCAGCAGGTTAAATAACTCAGCCCAGTGAAAAAGCCACAGGCAGGCAGCAGGAACAAAGCTAGCTCCACCTGCCTGGAAGGACTGTAGCTTCAGGACCTGTGTCCAGTCAGGCCCCAGCTCCCTCTGCAAAACAGGCCAAGGGGGACAGAGGGATTTCAAGCTCCACACAGGGCAGCCCCAGGATACCCAGTAACTTCTGCTCTTTCCCCTGCCTTGCATCTAAGAACTAACAAGGGTTTTGCCAAGAGGTCCACAGGAAGCAAAGGACTAGAAAGAAAAATAAGGTTCTGCCAAGCAGAACACTTCCCCCAAAGGCGACAGACACAGACAAGAGGCACCCACGCCCTGTGGGCCCCACAGGCAAAGGACAGCTGCCCACAGAGCAACACCAAAGTCACCACTTGCTCAGGGAGGGCTTGTTTTTAGCTTCAAAGGTCAATGTGCACAACAGTGCAAGACTGCACAGACCCACTGAATTACAGGGGTCGGTGTGATGAAGTGCCTGGCACGACTCAGGCTGCCTGAAAACAGAGGTGAGGAAGGGTCCTTCCCTGTCCTCCCTTCTCCTCACCCGGAGGGAACAAAGAGGCCGGAGCGTGCACAGCTTATCTCCGCATTCTTGAGGCCAGAGCAGGGAGGCCACTCTTGAGAGAGCATAAAGTTCACCGATGGGGAAACTGAGGGCTCTAGGGGACTGGAGCTGCCTTGAAATGTAAGTAGCAGCAGGTGTCCGGGGACCTAGCCACTCTGCAGATGCCCTAAACACTCATCATTGACCCTACACATGATGCATGGAGTTGCAGGTCAGTTCACCTCCACGCCTGGCTTCCTCAGTAGATCAGAGAGCAGGGCCTTGGCCACCGTGTACCTCCAGGGAGTGCTCACTATGACTGCAACTCAGAGCAAGACGACCGAGACCCTGGCCCTGGCTTCCCAGGAGGCTGCATGCACACCCCGGGAGAGCCTGCCATGAGCCTGAGTGGAGGCTGCACAGCTCCACACCCCACAGACAACCAGGGCACCGTGGGCGGCAGAGTTCCCTTGGAGATGCCACAGGTGAGGCCAAGCGACAGAGGCTGCAGGTCCTTTGAACCCCATGACACCGTCTGTCTCAGCACCAGCAAGCCGACAAGGGGCCCAGGGAGCAGAACACAGGGTGGACCCGGCTGTCTTCCCCACTACAGCCTTGATGGGCTTCCGGGCAGGGATGGAAGACACTTGGGACAAAGAAGCTGCGGGAGAAAACTCCCTGCAAAGGTGTTGCCCAAGGCAGGCCTGGACTCCTGGAGGAAAGAGGCAGAGGCACAGGAATTTCCAGGCCCTGCTGACCTCAGGCCCAGCTGGCCAGCGGCAGTTCCAGGATGACCTGGGCAGACAGGAACTCTCCCTGTGGTGAGGGCAGGCCGAATCACCTCTCCTGGAGAACCGTGCTCAGGATGACAGAGCTGAACCGGAATCTCCCAGAACAAAGCCACCCTCATTAAGCGGGGCGAAGGTGCTCAGAAAGTCAGTGAATGAAGGCGCATCAGGCCTCACAGGCAGACACAGGCACACACCAGAGTGTGCAGCGGGGAAGGCAGCACTAGGAGTCAGGTATGATGAGCTCATCTGGCTCTCAACTGCAGAACAGGCAGGGCCCAGAGCAGGGAAGGCCAGGACCACACCAGAGGCAGAAAGGCCCCGCCGGCCCCCAGTCTACCCACAGCCCCACCCTGCACGTCCACTCCTGCCCTGAGATCCCACTGCAAACCAGCAGCCCTTGCCCATCTTCTGGGGGTCAGGCTCCAGACTCCGCATCCACCGGGTTTGACCCACCTTACCTAGAAGGCACACGGCAGCAGGACCCGGCACTGGGACAGCACCAGAAACAGCCACTCTCAGAGTGTGGCCAGCCCGGACCTTCCAAGAGAAGACGTGTGGCAGACTGGGAGGGGGGCCTTCCCACAGCTCGCCTCAAGGGCTTGGGGGCTGCCCACCAGAACCAGAAAGGCCCAGACAGAGGCAGGCGGCGGGAGACCAGGGAGGGTGAAGATACATGATGCGGTGAGACTGCGGAGGCTCCCTGCAGGCAAGGGTGAAGAGGGTCAAGAGCAGAGACCCCGATCAGAGTCACACGGGAGAGAAGGTGGAGGAGCACCGGCACATGTCCGGCACCTGCCCAAAGCCTCCCAGCGGGTCTGAGGGCATCAGCCCCTGCCAAGTTCTGAGGCTGCAGTTGTGGGGGTGGGGAACAGGAAGATCTCCAGGCCCCCAAATGCTGTTAATTTGCATAGCCACCAACATTTGTCACTACTTTCCCAAGCACTGGTTTTCTGATTGCCACCACGGTGCCAGAAAGAAACTAGGGCTGTTGTGTATACGACAAGACAGCGAAACCAAAGCCCTGCCCGGGACTCCACGGCCCTAATGCCTGAGGAAGTGCAGTCTCCCTGGCCAGAGGGAATAGCACAAGTGGATCTCAGGGGGTCGCGGTGGCACGAGCACCTCCCCGGCAGAACGGACAGGGCTTTCAGGATAAGGAGCTGAGAACAGAAAGTCCAATCTGCTCACAGCCACAGACTCGTCTCCTGCTGTGTAAGTGAGGAGCCCGAATCAGACAGAAACTGTGATGCTCTGATGCTGGCCAAGGACTGGAGGGGACCCACACCTCGGGACCTGGCAGCCGGTCAAGGAGAGGGATGAGCACACTGCAGATGAAGAAAGCGCCCAACAGGGTGGAGAAGGGGAGAGGCGAGTCAGGTGCCAGCACACACTGGAGAGCGCATCCTCAGCGGCACCCAGGGGTCTTGCCCGAGTCCACTCTGCTGCACCCGTCCCCCTCCCGCTGTGGGACCAGCTCTGCCACTCACTCCTCCCCCTTTCTGGGCCTCAGCGGCCTCATCTGCAAAACAGGAATCACAAAAGTACCTCCTGGTGTAAGTTTAAATAAATTAAGTGAAGCATGATGTCTAAGCTGGAAGGGGCTTTTCACTTTCTACTACGTATTTTTTGATGATCTGATTTATTTAACAAAAAACATATATTCACTTTATAATGAAATTTCCAACGGAATAATGATACAATAATGAAGAAGATGATGATGATCATAATTACAGAACCCAGCTCAGTGTTCAGCATACAGCAGGTAATTACAAGTCTGGGGCAGCTGATCTACGGGCCACAGCTTCCCTTCCACACATCCTCCTTTAATGGAGAATTCCAGGTTCCTGCGCACTTAGGAGGCTGGACCGTGGCTTCTACTTAATTTCCCACAACTTGTAGATAACCACTTGCTGGCTCAAACCAGCAGTCACTGGATACAACACCTCAGCTGCTGAAGATGAGGCTACAGGAAGCCCACGGGAGACCAGTAACCACCGGGGCCTCATTTCTGCCTCGTTGGAGGACTATCCCACACCTCCATTCCAGGAGCGGGACAGCCCCGGGCTGGGTCACTGCCGAGTGCCGCCCACACTCTTGTTTCAGGGTGATCGCCAGTCCCCCACAGTG